AAGTTATTTAGAGAATAATTAAAAGTTATGATATTTTTTATTTATTAATTCTTATATAATAATAATAATAATAATAATAACATAGTTATTAGTAAGACAATTTTAAAAAGTAGTAATAAAGACAATTATAAGTATAGTGAAACGAAATTTAAAATATTTTTTTATCCTCTAAACTGTAAGAATTTTAATAATTTTTTATTTGAAAAGTGATGTAAAAAATAAAATTTAATTAAAAATTACTTAAGAGAGGAAAAATAGTACTATAAAAAATAAAATACTCTTTTAATTCAATAGAAATTAATAACGAAATGTTTTATCAGTTATATAATCTTGGAAAGCGCGAACCCGAAAAACACAAGGAGATACCCTATCAAATATCCAAAGAGTTATTAGTTAAGAATTAGGAAAGTACTCACCGCTTGACGATGCTAGAGAAGAAACATAGTAAATCAATAAGAGCAGAGAAAAGATTTCCATGTTCGTTTAACTAACCATCCAACAACATACAAGAATTTGGGAGAGACAGCATCGAGGCAATGCTACAATCAGTGGGACACCAGCCTATGCTGCACACAAACACCCGATCCGCTTCTCCGCTAGGGAATGAGCAGCAATTGTGATTGATCGGCACTTTATGGCTAGAGTAGCATACAGTACACGTGGATGGCGGGAAATCTGGACCGCTAGGGTGGCTCGGGTGCTATAAACTTACCACCACCCGACTTTCTTTACTCTCCATAATGCATTGCGAATTATCAATATATATGTACAGTACAAAAACACATTTTTTTAATTTTCTAAAAATCATACTATAAAAATTTTTAATACCTTATGTTCATAATTTACTTAGAAGTTTTAAAATATTATAAATAAAATTTAATTAGTAAAAAATATTTACCGAGTAAACTTGAAAATTAAAGCTAATTAAAATTTTTATCGTACTTTTTTGGATTTTTGTTGTTATTTTTACTCAAAAAATGGCTTAATTTGCGCTTAATGAAAGAAAATAAATAGTTTGGGGTTTTTTTTAAATATAAGTTTTGCTTGAAAATAAATAAATTTGTTATATTGTCATTGTAGATGGTGAATGTAGATAATACTTTTTCTGCTGTCTTGGGACTGTTGAATCTTCTTTGGAAGAGAGATAGCTTCTGTTAACATACATAGGTTGCACTCATTAATTGTCTGAAGTTTTGTATTCCGATACTCCGATATTTTATTGTTGTTGTTCGTCTTCTTTGTTGTTCCCGAGAGATTTTTTTTTATTTTTTATTCTTCCTGCCTCTATTTCGTATAAGAGAGGTTATATTAAGTTAATTGAATGATTTCGTAAAAATTATTATTATTATTATTTCGATTTTATGAAGTGAGTATGATGTTTAATTGTAGTTTATTTATTCATTTACTTCTATTTCTTATATAAATATTTGATTCTCCTTTTGAGAACTTTCAATATTATATCATTCAATTTTTTATTTTTTATTTTTAAATTTAATATTATGGAAAAATATCAGGTTTATAGAATATAATGTTTAATTCTAATTATTATAATTAGTAATAAAATTTAAAAAAATTTAATGTTATATACAAAATAATTATTAAATTTTAAATCATTTATAAAAACAGACTTTTCTAACTTTAGTAAACAATTAAGTTTTTGTTTTTTACGGAAATCTTTCCGTAAAAAGTAAAAACATAATTATTAGCTTAATTATAGTTTGTTCTCCAGAAAAAAAAACAATTATTCAAAATATTTTTTTAAAAATCAAAATTAATAATAATTAATTTAAAATATGATAAATTCAAAAAGGAAATAAGTTACATAATTTATACTTATACTTTAATTATAGAATCTTTACTATAATTCATTATTTTATTAGAGTAAATCTCAAAAGTATATTCATTTTTATGAAAAAAGGCATTTAAAATCCCTATATATATATTGAGAAATTGATAACCTTTTTAGAATAAATAAATGAATATTTATTTAATATAAATAATTATTTAAAAAGTTTATTTGTTGAAAAAAATAAATATATTAAACAATTAAAGTATTAATTGATGTTTGAAAATGTTTTTAATTGTGGAAGAATCATCAGAATACAGTAATTAATTATCTTTCTGATGATTCTTTTTGTATCTCTTCCTCTATAAATTTAATATAGCACCTATAGAGACATGCTATAATTTTTTTATGTCTGAGATTATCTACTAGTTTACTAGTAGATAAAAAAGCAGCATTTAAAAAAATGATATGAGGTTTATTTAGAAATTCCGAACGAATTCATAAAGAGTTCACATTCTTTCTATTATGACATTTGTTTTTTTAAACATTGAATAAATTGACGAAATAGTAATTTAACATTTTCTCTATCAACGGAAAATTTTAATAAATATGGAAATGTTTGATTCTGATAGAATAGCTACAGGATAATCAATCACGGTTTATTAAATTCTCACGATAATAAATTCAGTCAGATTTTTATATAAAAATAATTTAAATAATTTACATAAAAATTGAATTTTATCTGATGTTTTTATTTGTAGAAAATTTAGAACTGTTTAGGCCAATAGTCGAAAGATCAATGTTTTAATATAACAAACAGATAATAACGTAGATAATCAATATTGCTATGGTTTAGAACTATAAAACATGCGTCTTATTGATTAATAGAGTTGTCAATCAGAAAAAGAAAGTCAATAGAACAGTTCAGATAAAATCGATCGGCTACTACTCTTCAACTACTTGTGATCTAAACTTACTTTATTTTCTGTTGATAACAGTCTTTGTCAGTATTTTTATTGAACAGAACGTATATTTACTACAGAAATCAATAGTAAGGTCAATTGCCCTTATTATTGAATAAAGAAAAACAGAAAATTCGATTCTAAATCATCTTTTGTTAACAGCATAAACCGTCCTCCAAAAGTAAAATATCACTTTGAATAAATATATTGAAAATACTATACTTTTAAAAATAAATTTATATCATTTTTAAAAACAGGAAAAAATTATAAAGAGGATATTTTCCCTGTAAGAATGATATAGTGCATTACTAGAGTGATTCTATCATTGATATATCGAATAGTACCTGGCTTTAGACAGCACAGAGATAAGATATCTAAAGGGACTTCATGGTATGATCATCTTTGATCATATGAAGAATGATGATATTGTGGAAATGTAACCGATAGTTAAAGTAGTACGTAATTGATAGGGTTGATAAATATGTTTAGATGGTTTGGACATATTGGATGAATGAAGTGATATCATCATTTAGAAATAACGTTCGTAACGCTAAAGATTAAAAGAAAGCAGTCGAAAGAGTCAAACTTGGGTAAAGTTTATTATAAGCAATTTTTCCAAACGCCACGAAAATGTTGTGAAGGTCAAAGTGATTTGTCATTACAGCAATTAAAAAGTGATTAATCTTTCTAATATTTTAAAAGAATTATTAAGTTCATCTATACAAAAATAAATATTGTTTATGACATTACTTAAAAATTTAATACCTTATTTTAAACGCGTATTAAATAGAATATATTTTAAACGAATTAAATTTTATATAAGTTTCTATAAAAAGAAAGCATATTTTGTAAATATAAATCACTATTTATTTATTTCACTTTCGCTTTGTCAGTAATAGTAATCCAATGTCTAACATAGCAGAATAGAGTGTCACGTTAGACATATGGTCAGAGGCCATATGTCAATATACTCATGTTTAGAGCAGGATCACTACATGTTTGTAACTACAAGTCGAATAAAAATTTAAACAAAGAAAACTTTTAATTTTTTCATATAGGAACTTTAATGGAACATAAAATAATAAAAATATATGTATATAAATTACTAATTAACTGATATATACATGTATGTATACATAAAAGTTTATAGGCAAAATAAAAAAAAATTTAAAATACACATAACAATAAATCACGGAAGATAAGAGAAAAATATAAAAGTTTTTTACTCTTTTTTTTATTTTATTTAAATTTTACACACTCGACAGTAAAATGATGTACAGTACAGTCTTGAAGTTTCAGCAGTCAAACGCTGCTTTATATGAGTTTGCTTTTAGTTTACGATAATGAGAGATAAATGGAGTTTCGAAAAAGACTTAGAGCAGAACATACCCTCTTATAGTCTGTTGGATAGGGCTGAGAAAATATCTTCTTGATCGATTTTTTTCTTACAATATAAACCCTGTATTAAAAATAATATAATCTTGATTAAACCATCTTTGTCTTTTGTATTACAAATTTAATTAAAACATGGAATTTTCATAATAAATATTTGTTTGACCTTTATTTAAAACGTTCTTCTTTTATTGAGTTATGTAAAATTTAAGAACAAATATTTAATTTTATTTCATACATAATTTAATTAATTATAATAAAAATATTAATTTATTTACATTTTAAATATCTCACTTAATGGTATTTAAAATGAAACATATTTATTATTTATAAATCATACAGTAATCTAAATTAAATTTTTTTTTACCGTGATAAATTATTATAATATTTTTCGTTATTTAAATATTAAAAACACAATATAATTTACTTTTATGTTTTATTTTTGGCTTCAAAAATATTTCTTAAAGTTTAAATATTGTATTGACATCTTAACGAGATAAATGGAGGGTTCCTATGAGAAGAATGCGTAAAAGAAGAAAGAAAGAAATAGAATTGGATACTGAAAACGAAATTTTGAATGTTTTTCATAGATTTTTGTAGAACTTTCTTCCTTTTAAATCATTAAATTTACTCTTTCTGAAGTCGATAGAAAAATCCAGTTATTGAAAATAGAACCAAAACTTCATACGAAGTTGTAAGGTTTTTACTGCATAAATCCAAAAAGAAACATTTTTCTAAATTCTTATAGATTTATTTATAATTTTTATCATCAAAACTGTTTTCACGAGAATGAATAGTATTATTATAATATGTAAATTTTCTTTTGAAATTTTTTATATTCGAGCTTCGAGTTGATTACTCAATCCCTTTACAACATTAACGATATTTCTTTTCTTTTTTTGTTATAATCAAATAAAATTTCAAATTTAACATTTCAACCAGAATAATTTCATATATTAAAAATTTTCTACGCGATTTAAATTTCTTCGACTATTTAATACAATCGTAATATTTATTGATCTTTAATTTTTTTATTACTTTAAATAGTCTGTCAACTTTTCCTTTTATCAGTAAGTTTTGTATAATTATTATATATATATATATATAACTTGCTAATTTTAATTTCATTAGTGCAATATTCTTTCAGTGAAAAGTTATCTGTTAGCAAAAATGTTGAAATTAAGAACTATGAACACTTATAGCTACAACCAACAGACTGCCGAAAATCTATCGGGCTAGTTTTATGCTACTTATTAGATAAATTACGTAATCAATTTGGTACTAGAGGTAAGCGTTAGGCGCCATCTCTTATTAATATTAATAATTATAANATTTTAAAAAAGTAAGAAAAAAGTTGGAATGAAAATAATTCGTAAGCATCTAGTATGAAGAAAAAGCGACGAATCTGTATAAAGTATCTTTATACTTTATGGTTAAAA